TGGTGACCCTTATCACTCAGCCCCTCAGCCCCGGAGCCGATACTACACACAAAGGGAACGCCTCAGTCAGGGCCACATTCAGCTCACGTCTACACTGCTGACACTCCGGAGTCACTCTGCATTTTCCCCAGTGTAGCTGACAACCAATTTTGGCCCAGACTGTTGCAAACACAGGACGAGGTTGCTCTTGGCACCATGGGAAAAGCCCAGGCAAGGGCCAGGAAATGCCACTCATGTTAAGAATCTGCAAAAAATCCTCCCTGTGGGGGATTGCAGAGCAGAGGAACTTCAGTTTCCCTTGCGTTTCCTGCTCCTTAGCTCACTCTTGGCACAGTGGAGAGGTGGGAGGAGGGGGTGGGTGTCACTTCCCATCTCTGTGTCTGTCCTGGCAGCACAGTGGGAGTCTGCTGCATGGGGAAGGCCGAGCAGGGCTGGCTGGGAATGCAGGCTCGTGTGCAGACAGGCTGATGTGCGGGGCCCTCTGAATTTCCCTGCGACTCTCCCCCTCCCTTCGCCTCCCCATGGCATCATGCTCTCTCGGCTCGTGAAGTGTGAGAGGCTTTTATGGTGCAGCAGGTGGCTGGGAAGCCAGTTCCCAACACCTGTGCCTATGCGGTGACATCTTCCTCCTCCTGCCCAGGGGCTGACGATGCCAGGTACGACTACAAGAACATTCTGCTCATTGTGGTACCCCTCTCTGTCCTTCTCCTGGCCATGGCTGTCTTCGGGCTCCTTCTCTCTCGGAAGCACTCAGGTAAGAGCCCTCGGTCGCATTAATCAATGTTCCCTGCCCAGCACTGAAGAACCGGCCTTGTAAGCTAGACACACCTGCGGGAGGGGTATGCACTGCCAGGAGAATGTGGTGTGTGGGGAGGGGGGCATGGTGCAAACCCCAAGGCAGACAGGAAGAGGGAGCAAGGTGCAGCATGTCACAGCGCTGCTCTGTCCTTGTGTCCCACACAGACACCAGCTGCTGCCACGTGCGGGAGGTTTCCAGAGGCTGTAACAAGAGCTCCATGCTCTGTCGGCATTTGCCTTCTGTGTCTTTGGAAATCTCTCCCTTAGGAAAGGAAGGTGGAATCTCGCCTCCCTCCCCTCCCCTCCTGCCCTCCAGCAGCTCCGGGTCTGTGACACAAGTGGGGAATCTGATTTTCACAGCGCCCCTCCTCCCTTCGCTGAGGTGGAATCTGAGGCCACAAGGCCAGCGTGAGGGGCCTGCTACCACCAGGCTGGATTGTGGCCTCCACGGTCTTGCCAGGTGTCCAAGCCATGGCTCCTCTTGACCTCAGGGAGCAGGGACTGGCTGCACCACAGTCCCTGTGAAAGAGCTACAGGGCATGGCGTCCAGCGGCTTTCAAACCACAACTTGTAGCTGTGGCGGAATGGCTGCTTGGAAACATTCCGGCCGGTTCCTCATGGCAACTTGCTTTTGGCATCCAGCTACAAGGGCTGTTTGCTGCTCTCTGAGGCTGTTGGCTCCCTTGCTGCAGCCAACAGGGAGCACAGAGAGAATGCCATTGCTGTCTGACTGAATTTCCCTTGGGGAGACTCCGTCGGGGCAATTCTGAGCCCCACAAGGGCAGCTCAAACACCGGTCCTGCAGGGGTTGGATCTTTTAGCTGAGGTCTTAATGCCTGTCCAATTTGTGTAGACATTTTGTGTCCCATGGGTCTCTAGTGCTGGAGTTTCCCTCATGATCTTGGCCAAAATTCCCCTTGTCTGCTGTCTCCCTTCCACTACCCCCCGCCCCAGATGTTGCTGCCTGTGACCGGCAGTGAGGCTATGTCTAGACTACATTCCTGTCGAAAGAGGAATTTAAGTGAAGCAAATCAAAAGTGTAGATGACGTGCAGCTTTAAATATCCTACGTTTCATTTGCATATTCGCGTCCGAGTGCTTTTTTGAAAAAGGGTTTTCGAAAGTGAAAGCGCAGTCTAGACAGGGTTCTTTTGGAAAAAAAAAACCATTTTTCGAAAGAACTTGTACTCCTGAAAAAAAGAGGAGTACGGGTTCTTTCGGAAAAAGGGTTTTTTTAAAAAAAAAACCTTCTAGACTGCGTTTTCACTTTCAAAAAATCCTTTTTCTCGAAAAAGCACTCAGATGTGAATATGCAAATGAAGTCTGGGATATTTAAATCCGTGCTTCATTTCCACTTTTGATTTGCTTCATTTACATTCCTTTTTCGCCAGAGGAATGTAGTTTAGACATGCCCACACGTCTGCAGCTTGCAAGGCCTTGCAAGACACGAAACGCCAAACTGCGCTTGCCCCTCGGGGAGGGTCTGAACAGTTACAAAGCAGAGAACAGAGATATTTAAGAGCCCACCAAAGGAATGACATTTGTTTCCACCTTCCTTAGGGAAGCAAAGAATGAAATCGCTGTCGGATGTCTCGGAGCCAGATGCAGTCCCTGTCTAGGCATTGAGGCTGCCTGTCCCACAGAGCTGTGCCCACCTGGGAAAGTGGCCCTCCTTTCTCCTTGTTGCTGGAGAGGCCGAAAGTTCACTGGATTTATCTGACTCATGTTCTTTTCTTCTGGAGAACATCCCAGGGGCTGGCAGCTTCCATGGCCCTATGGACAGCCCGGAGACTGTGGGAATCCTTGTGGGTCAGGATCCCAGCATAGACTACAGAAGCTTTAACCAGCCCTCCCTCATCCTTTGCTCCATGTTTGCCTCCAAGTTCCCCACAGACCCCTCCCCCTCATTTAAAAACCATGCAGCCGTTTGTATTGAACTGTCTGTTTCTCCCTACAATTTTCATCGACATTGCGGAATAGTCCAGAATAATCCTCAGCTCAGCAGCAAGAAACCCATTTTAAGGCCTTGTTTTCACTGAAGGAAAAAAAAACAAAACCCCGAAACAAAACAAAGGAGATGTCCTTACCTAAAGTTTTCTGGCTGGAAGGGACTGGTTCGAAGTGAGGCAAGGTCATTTTCACACAAGTTGACAGATTGAGTTAGACCCTAAGCCCCACCCTAGTGTTTAACTCAACCAGCTAACTCATGGTGAAGATGACAAACCTCTTTGTCTGCAGAAGAGTTTTACTTCTCATTCCGACATTCATAGACGCTAAGGTCAGAAAGGCCCGTGACCAGCTCATCCAACCTCCTGGAACACACGGCCAAGGACTGGCCTCACCCAACCTGATTCCTACTTGAACTATAACAGATTGTGTAAAAACGACCCATCGCATTAAGAGCACCTTTTATCTGTGAAGTGCACGTTGGGTACTTTGAGTAACTGGCCCTTATTTAGATATCTAACTGGAAATGGAGTTTTTATGAAAACCTGGGGTCGGATGCAGAGTCCAAGGCAATCTAGCACTTGTTCCATCTCTACTGACACTTCTTACCCATTCTCTACACTTTCAAAAGAGGGATTTACCTGAGTATAAACTATCAATTGTCTTCAGACGCATCGGAAACTGTTTGGGGAAGTTCAGGGGAAGTTCTGATGAAATCCACCATGAGAAAGTGTGCAACCAGAACCAGAAAAGGACGGCAACATTGCATGTATGCACTTACATTCACACACGAGCATGTGTGTGCACCTAAACACACACACACACACACACACTTACTTTCATAGCATTATTTAATAGGATTACCTCTTCAGCAACTGCAACTGAATGTGACCAAAAAGTAGTTGTGCATTATGTACGTGGCATGATTTTTAAACTAGATGAGCACATGTCAGATTTATGGAAAAGAAGTAGTACTATGTATAAAAGTCAAATGACAAAAATCTCCACTCAAACCTGTAAGCTGCGTGTTTGAAAGCATGACCAATGGTTTACAATTCTTCCAGTAATCAGTTGACGTTAAATGATGAAGGCAGTTCAGTATCTATTGATTTATCTATCAATCTATCTATCACCATACACTTCATCCCTCCATCGTTCTAAGATTGAGTCTGTATGTTTGTAAGTCCATTTGTTCAAGAACTTCTCCTAACTGCTAAGAGCTAGGGTCACCAAATTTGGAAGGCAGTATCCTCTGATCCTAACTTAAAGCAAGGTTTGGTTGTGCTGGGACTATGGGACGTGTCAAACATGGAAAGGGAGGGGGCTTCTGTTTGGAAAGTGGCCACTGGGGGCAGCTGCACCGCTCAGTCTATGTCTAGACTGCAGGTTTCTTTCAGAAGAAGCTTTTCCAAAGAGATCTTCCAAAAAAACTTCTTCTGAAAGAGAGCGTCCACATAGCTAAAGCGCATCAGGAAAGCGATCTGCTTTTTTGAAAGTTAGCATCCACACTGAATTGACACTATCTCACATTTAAGCTGTGATTACTATGGAAGGAGTGGCCACCAGGGCACCTGTGCTCTTTCCTCTTCTTTCGAAAGAACTCCCTCTTCCCCATCCACACACACCTTTTTCCGAAAGAGCTCTTTCAGAAAAAGGCTTCTTCCTCGTAGAAAGAGGTTTACCAATGTCGGAAAAACCCCTCCGTTCTTTTGATTTTCTTTCGAAAGAATGTGATTGCGGTGTGGACGTAATTCAAGTTTTTTCAGGAAAACGACCGTTTTTCTGAAAAAAATCTGTAATGTAGACATAGCCTAAGGGAATGGTGAGCCGGGGCTGGGACTCACCATCTTGCCTGCCACCAGATTGGGTAAGTAGCCCCCCTGCCCCAAACTCCTCCCATCTGGCCCTTGGCTGCAGTGCTGGAAAGGGGAGAAGGAGGGGCCCTGCCAGCCAGGAGACCTAGGGGACAGATAAAACCCCTTCCAGCTGGGGGTGGGGAGAGAGAAAGCCCCTCCAGATGGGACTCCCTGTCCCAAGTCTCTCCTTCCCCCTAACCCTCACTCTCACATGCCCCCACTTCCTGCCCTGCCCTCCCCCACATCCCCAAGGCCCTGCCTTGACTCCTGCACCCCCATCACCAGCCCCCTGCCCTGAAGGGCCCAGGCAATGCCAGGTAAGTCTTCTAGTCACATATATTGTATATGTTCCCTCTACTTTGGTCAGTTCTTTGTGTTATATTCAAAGCCCCCTTCACCTGGCTGAGGAACTTTTGAGACCGTTAAATGCTGCTTTTCAATAGCCCTTGGAACACTCGAGACATTCTAAAAGACTGGGAAGAAAGCATATGTGCCAATATTTGAAAAAGCTACGCAGGGCAACCTGTGTAATTATAGACCTGTCAGCCTGACATCAGTTACAGACTTGATTGATAAAGAATTACAGGAGGAGGATGTAATTAATGCCAATCAACACAAATTTGTGGGAAATTCAACCTGTCAAAGTAACTGGGTATCTTTGTTTGATAAGATTAGATAAAGAAATAGTGTTGACATTATACACTAAGAGCTTTGGAGGGGTGTGACTTGGTACTGCATGACATTTTGATTGAAAAACTAGCGCGAAACAGAATTATCACAGCAGACATTAGATGGCTTACAAATTGTCTAGCAGGCAGGTCTCAAAATGGGATTACAAATGGGGATCATCACTGAGAAAGTGTGTGTCTAATGGGTCTTGCAGGGATCAGTTCTCAGCCCCCTGCTATTTAAAATTTTTTATCGGTGACCTACCAGAAAATGTGAAATCATCACTGATGAAGTTTGCAGATGACTCAAAGATTGGCGGAGAGGTAGACGATGAAGAGGACTGGTCATTGGAAGATAATGTAATCAATGCCAGTCAACATTGTTTATAAAAAATACCAAAAGGGAAGGTTTTAAAACATTCGTGCTGTCTGTAAACAATTGGCAAAGACAAGAGTCCATGACCAAGGTATGAAGGAGGAGGCACCATTGGACAATGACTGCCGAGTAAAGATGGAGCTACTGAAAAGCCCTGCAGTCTTTCCTTGACACTGTTTGTAATTAAGTGGCTCACAAAGGATGCGTCTACACAGCTAAGCAAATGCCATAGCTTATTTTGAGGTAATTTTGAACTGAAGCACTATTCCGACAAGTCCCTTAAGCCTCGTGGAACAACGGTCACAGGGACTCAGGAAGAGTGCGCCCGTTATTTCGAAATATTTCAAAATAACGGGCACGTTTAAAAAGATGGAATTGCTATTTCGGGATACTTCCGGTATCCCAAAATAGCTCTGCTGTCTAGATGTAGCCAAAGAGATGTGACATGGGCAAGGTTGTGGAAATCCAACACATAACTGTATGGTTGGTACAACTGATGCCTGAGACCTCAGAACCATGCAACAAGGGCCATGCATCTGAGGTAATGTGTGATGAACACAATCAGGAGGACAGCTCTTAGACTCAGCCCTTGTCCGACACCAGAACTTGATATGGAGACTCCAGATAATTCCAACAGCAGGGTGCAAAGGGCCAAATCACAACTAAGTTGCAAGTAGAAGCATTAAAGGGTAAACAAGAGGTGCTGATGGTAAAAACTGGTCACAATCCTGCAACTGGGAAGGGAATGTGGCACGCAGCCCAAACTTTGGTGGCTTAAGAGCACCAGCTAAGAAGGCCTCTTGACACTCAGGACAAAATTTTTAAACACATTAAAATAAAAGGGAAAATGTGGCCTTATCTGTGTTTCTCCATGCCGCCTATCAGCAGTTGAGGGATGTTTCTTTAAAGGCCTTGGAAATTTTGCCTTCTGTCCCAACCCAATGAGTACACCCCTTAAACAAGCACTGTGCCTTTGTGTTTGTGTAAGGGGTGTGCTGATAGGGACCTACAATGCCCTCAGGGCTCTGGGCGTAGGGCTGTGCTTTGATATAATTTGCAAGAGGCAGGGCCAAGTAGATCTGTACCGGTCAGGTCATATGACACCAAACCGCATAATGCAGGGCTGGGCAATAATTTTTGACCGGGGGCCACTTCAGAAATTTTTGAAGTGGCCCCAGCCTGCCCCAGAAGGGGCAGGGCCTCAGGTGGAAGGGGCGGGACCAGGACACTTCTGTGCTTCCCCACCCACAGACCCTGATTGGTCTAGGGGTTGGGGAGCACGCAAAGTCTTCTCCCTCCCACCCAGAGAGGACCACTAGCTGTTCTGAACCACTAGCTGTTCTGAACAGCTGGTGGTTCCCTCTAGGTACCCTGGTGGTGGGAGAAGACTTCATGTGCTCCCCCGTGCTGTCCCCAGGTCAATCAGGGCTGGGGAGAGGGAGCACATGAAGTCTCTCACTTCCTGCCCCCGCCCTGCAAGGGAGCGCCGTGCTGAGTCACCTTCCAGTTGAGCACCTGATTGGCCTGGAGGCGGGGGGAGCGCACAGAGTCCTGCAAGGAGTGTGTGATGCTTAGAAGCGGAGGCCTTTTTGCCCACCCCTGCCATAACGGGACATTCCATACAAACACACTTCCCACAGTCATTTCCAAGTAACAGTCTGTTTACAGTCTGCTCAGAGATTTATAAGAAGAAATACAAGTAAGGCACCATTTTCATTTTTATAACATGCTTTAGCCCTATTGCCTATTACCTTAGCTCATTCAAGTTTAATCAGTGGACGTTGGGAGCCCAAAATATCTTTCAGGATGTGATCCATACCTCCCTGTTGCTGAGTTTCAGCTATTTCAGTTCTTAAGCACCCACACAGTGTTCAAATAAACACCAGTAGTGGCTCTGAAGGGGAAAACAGCTGCTTTGGGTCACAAATAAATAAACACTCTATCTCTGGAGAAAGGAGTTGTCTTTAATATCGGATTATGCGGCTAAATGTGAATGATTGTCTGTCTGCATGCGTCCTCTGGGCATGCGTATTGTGTAACGCAATGCTGCTTAGCCTAGTGTTAATGCATGTACACATTCACCCAGAAGCAGCCAGCTCCCCCCATCCTCCTCCATCCTCCCCAGTGCCGCCCGCCCACCAGCTGCCCTGCCAATCAAGTCCTCCTCCTTCCTCCCAGAGCCTCCTACCTGCCATGGATCAGCTATTTTGGTGCATGCAGGAGGTGTAGGTGGGGCGGGGGGGGGGGGGGGGGGAGAGGGG